CTTTGCGATTCTATGTATAGCTTATAAATATAACTATCAATATAACTAGAGTTTACAACTCAATGTATAGTTTACAAATCATTTTGCCCCTCTATTATCTTATTTGACATTTGCAAGAAACCTTTATGATTTGTTGCTGTTCTTCAAGGAAGAACTTGGAATCTGAGCCTCCCTCTTTCTCTCAGCTTAAGCCTGGGGAGAAATACTCCAAAGTTCAGGGTCAGAGTCATTACTGAGATGTTGATGGGAGGGGACTGAGCTTTTTGATGACTCTGAAATATAGAGGTTAATAGAATATTAACAGCAATTACTTATTGTGTGTTTATTATGTGCTATGTGCTAGTGTATGTCGAATATTTCCCTACCCTCTCTTTTTAATTTATTTTAGATTTGCCATGTATTCTAATAAATGCTGTAAATTGATCTGGAATGCCTATTTTTATATTTTCCTTTGGAAACAATGGAGGTGGTGGTGGTGCTGTTGGTAGGCAAACTTGTAGATATTAACCAAAACATAAATTTTCATTTAGTCCTAGATGATGCTGGGACTGAAGGAATTTGCAGGCTACTACTTGTGTATCCTTACCAGAAACCCCAGCTCATCATACACTGTATGGGTTTTTCCAGGGACGAAACTCATGAAAATTCTCACTCAAATGGTTTACATTTGTATACATGAAAATAAGTGCAATCCAAGTTCAGTTTGGGAATACTTAGCTCTTCAGTAATTTGAAATGAGATGAACAGCCCCTCCCCATTTACCTAGATTGCGAAGTCGTCAAAATGCACCTTAGATCAGAGTTGGCAAAAATTTTTGGCAAATCACCATACAGCGAACACTGTAGACTTTGCAGGCCAGACCATCTCTGTCTCGACAATTCACCCCTGAACTTCAGAGTGTGAGCTGCAAGAACAGGCAAGCAGCTATATCTGGCCCTTGGTCTGTAGTTTGCTGGACCACTGACTTAGATCCTCACAGTCACTTCTCGTTCTTAGGTTATGGTTAATCCTGAGTTATCTGGGTTTATAGCTATTCCTGGTATGGATTATGGAACATGGGCCTTCCCTTCCCTCCACCCTCTTCTTTCATCCTGAACCCAGAAGCCTTGCTTTGTACATGCAAATGGCCCATCAGGGTATTTTCCTAAACAAAGGCATTTCCCTCGGAAGAGGGATTCTGCCCCTACTGTTAAGATCGATAAGTACACCACAGATGGTGCTTTCAATTGAGAACAACCACAACATAAAGGGAGATATGAAATTTTTGTCTAATTGTTCTGTTTGTCTATTCTATGAGTGGATGATTTCATCTGGCAGTGGTGCAAATTAATACCTAAGCTTCTGCTGGAACTCAACTGTTGTTGATTTTGTTGTGGTATCGGGGGTTCTAAATATAGGCAGGCAAGACGAGGAAAAGACACACCAAACTCCGTATCTATTTCGTTTTGGCAGTCTCTGAGAGCTTATATTTAAGCTTAAATTTAAATAAGCATTCTCATATTATCACTGCCGGTTTTAGAGCATTTCACTGGTGCTCTCATCGTATTACTCAAATGTATCAAAACCATACGGTTGGTTAGGGCTGCGTTGCTAAGCCACCTGGGGTTCCTTCTTTCTTTAGTACTTTGGCTTCTCTATGTTGGGGGTCTCACACCTCAGGCTCATGGGTCCCATCTCTGACCCTTGGTCTGCACACTATCGAAAAACAAAAACAAGAACTAAGAAATAGTTGCCACCATTAAAAGGAAATTTTGTCTAGAAACCTGATTTTCTTATTTCCTTTGGAAAACCAGACTTAACTAAAGATCTAAGGTTTTTCTTTTCTACCATTCTGTCTCTTCAACACTGAGCCCGAGTAGGGGGCACATGTAACCTCATAGCAGGCGCTTCTCTCTTGTGTCCACCTGGTCAGTAGAGGCATTGAGTTTGTGACCCCTGCTGGGCACATGTCCCCCAGGGATCTCATCAGCTACAGTGTCCACCTGGGGACTTTTCAGTCCATCTGTCCCCCGAAGCATACTGTGGGACTCAGACACAAAACTGTGACCGGGTTAACTGTATGGTTATTATCGAGAACACGTATGTTTCTGTGTTATGTTTTGTTCATTCGCTCAATGCCACTTTTTCCTTGCAAGGAAATACCTTTTAGAAGTTAGTCCCGAGAAAAAGAAAAGATTTTCTCTCTTCAAGAATTTTTAGAACATATGGACTTTCTGTTTCCGTCTGGGCTACTGGGAGGTTCAGAACTCAATTTAACAATGCGTCATAATTCTGGTGATATTTCTCTCTTGATAATTATTTTAATGCTAGTTACTAAAGTGAACATACATATATGCATGTTGTACAATTTTCCGGTCCATTTTGCAAGAGATTGGGCTTCAACATGTCAGTGTATGAGTGTTGCTAATGTCTCAGAACCTGCCTCCGCATTGGCAATAGATGTGTGTCCATAAAATACTCATCAGGCTATGTCATTATTCCCTTGCTTATTCAAGAAGGGATGTCTGCCTATCTACCTCGTGCTCGTAAGAAAGCCTATGTAATTATCAGAGAGTCCAAGCCCCTATCACATTAATCTACCTTCCTATCCGTATATCTGTGAAGTCACTGGCCCAGCTCCCAGAAAGAGGATGTGGAATGACTTGTTCAGAGTCCCCAGAGACAAACATTTTATCTAAAAAGACTTAGTGTCAGATGTCCTTAAGGTATACTCTGAGAACAAATGACTTCTCCCTCATCTAGGCTCTTCGTTCTCTTTCATATGCAACTTAGAGAAAAGACCCTGCATACCTCATTTGCTGATGGTAATGCTGTCATCCTGCATCCCGACAGTGGGGGATCAGATGGGAGTAGGTTGACTTCTCTGTGGAACTGTTTTTCCAGAGCTAGAGGCCCTGGTGTCTCTGGGTAAAGGTCAGCCAATGGCATGGTCTATCCAGTCAGCTTTTCGCCACTCCACTCCCAGCTGGTTTTGAGATGAGTTTTAACTCGTCTCAAGTAATATACTCGGATGGATGCCTTGGCCTGTCTCAGTAAAAGACAAGTGACACACTGAAGTCTAATCTGTCATGGAAGGTGCGCATTCAAACAATATGTTGTACTTACTAGTCTTTTGAGGACAAACCAGCTTTATAGCATTCCACTTTATTTCCCTCACCACAAATGCATGAACACGCACCCTTTAGTCAGTTGTCCCTCTGTGCCATGGCCTGATTAACCGAGACTGTCGTTTATTAGCAAGAGAAGTAATGAGGTGATATTTGGAAAAATAGGATTTAATGGAAAGCCAGAACATTTATTTAGATGGGATCTCATTCAAACCTGAGCTAGCATCATCTAGAAGAAATGAAGGCCTACGTAAGTTCCTTTGGGAGTGTCTAAGCCCATCTTTTGGCTACTTTTAATCTCATCGAATTAATCACTGGATCTGTTTATCTTTGTCATGAGAAGCATCTGCCAATAACAAAACCTGTTCCCCCGGGAAAACTATTAGCTTTCAGTGATTTAAAGTAAGTAATGGGGCACTCTGAATAAATTGTATCCTGCAAGAGACACCATTTGATAATTCACACTCTCATGAGAAATATTGGAAGAACCTTTCTACAGGCAATAATGTCACATTCCTTATTATGGTTAGCATAACTTTAACTCTGACAAGTTTTATTTTTAGTCCCTAAAGGATGTGTTTTTCAGAATGTGTACAGAAAATAACGTTTGAAAAGAAAAGTTATTTTCTGCAGTCATAAAAATCTATTAAGGTGAATTTTTTTTCAAGTACAGTGGTATTTTTTAAAAGATCAGTGACAAGAAAGCTCTGTTTTTGCATCTATATTTCATATATATAAAATAACACAGTGTTGAACTATTTAAAATAGCCACAAAGACAAGTTAAGTGGCTTCCATGTCTATAATTAGGAAGGTTGAATTTTTAAATTATTATTATTTTTTAAAGATTTTATTTATTTGTCAGAGAGAGAGAGAACGCACAAGCAGGGGAGGTGGCAGGCAGAGGGAGAAGCAGACTCCCCATTGAGCAAGGAGCCTGATGCGGGGCTCGATCCCAGGATCCCGAAGGCAGCAGCTTAACCGACTGAGCCACCCAGGCGTCCCTTAAATTATTTTTAATAGAGGTGTGTCAGAAATGCCTTTGTCGGCTAAAGTTTAGAAGTCTGTAAAAGTCGCCTATGAATATTTATGTCATTAATGATAATCATAAGGTAGTAAGCTTTGTGCTGCCCATCGGTGGGGATCGTGGCTTTGAGGGTCATAGCACTTAATTCATGTTACCCTCTCCAGAAACGCCGGGTGGACAGCAGTCAGGGCAGCTTCTGATGTTTCTCTTCAAGAATTCCAGTGGAGTTCCAAAGCCTGGAATTGGTCTTTATTTCTAGCTCCTGTCACTACAGCTCCCTAACACAACATCCAGCCTCAGCTCCAGCGGCTAGTTTGTGCGCCCGCTGATCCTCATGGTTTTGGTGTCAGGTTTCCGTTTGTGTCTTTGTAGGTAAAACGTTATCACCCTATATATCAGTGATCCAGGGCACGGCTAGCGACTATCAGGGTAGCATATAATGATTCCTTTGGAAATATTGAAAATAGATGAGCAAATACCATAAGTATAGATTTTATTTTTGTTTAGCCTATGGTAAATATATGATGCTACTTTGTTGTGCTTTTTCTGGTTATATTCTGGTTGAATTGTATTCTGTTTCAACAAGACTGTTCTGAGTTTGCTCAGGTCTCCTAGTTTCCTACAAAAAGACATGCATACTGTCGCCTATGCATATATTCCCAGGAGTAGCAGATTCTTCTCTATTCATTGTATATTGGAAAAAGTACACGGACAAAGAGTTCATGCAGGACGAGATGCGGCCAGGTCATCCCTGCCCCAGAGCTGACTCCTTCAGCCTGGCGGACAAGTTTCTGGAGGAATAAAGAAAAAGTTCAGAGAAGCTCCCATTCTTTTCTCTAACTGTTTTTTCTTCCTCTTCTCTCGACAGGAACTTTTTACCCCTGAATGCAAGTTTAAAGAATCTGTTTTTGAAAACTATTATGTAATCTACTCATCTATGCTATACAGACAACAGGAATCTGGTAGAGCCTGGTTTTTGGGATTGAATAAGGAAGGGCAAGTCATGAAAGGAAACAGAGTAAAGAAAACCAAACCAGCAGCTCATTTTCTACCCAAGCCATTGGAAGGTGAGTGTTATGTGAACATTATCCCTCTCAGTCTGTGACACGTTTATTTTTCCCATTGCTAACTCTACATTGGCCACAAGGAACCCTCAAGAGAATGCTGGAAATTTTCCGTATCTTGATCTGGGTGGTTGTCACACAAATGTCTACTTAAATTATGAATTTAAGATTTGTACACTTTATATACATGTGTGTGTGTTTATACATTTTATAGATATATAATATATACACACATATACATATATACACAAATTGACGGAGTATATAAAAATATATCACATATATACACATATAGCTAAGTTTTGAAAATTATGGAATATAAGTATTTGCCCATTTTGATAGTCTCCAGCTAAAATAATCACATACTTGTGAGTTACTATAATTAGAGAGAATAAAGAGTTAATCCCTTGGCCTTTAAAGAGCTTGTTGATGTCAGCTGTCTCCCTTCCAGCTGTACACTTGTTTAGTAAACTCGGCTATGGCCCTGCCTTCTTCTATATTTACCTGTAAACAATAAGCTTTCACGTTCACTTTGATCAGATTCCCAGAGAGCACACTATAAAGTGTTGCTAATTAATCAGAAACTTCTGCACCTTTTTCATTAAGGATTCTCCCAGAAGTGCCCTTTACCTTATCTATATAGTATTCGAGAACTAGAAAAAAAAAAATTGATCTTGAGGCATTTCAAAAGTGTTGTCTATTCAAATACTTCTACCTTTTGCAGAAAAGCAGATCTACAATAACTCAATAAACACTTTCATCTAACTTAGTTTGATTTTCTTTTTGTTTTTTGTTCCTAGAGGAAAGGTTTAGCCATCAAGAGAAAATGTATATTGGTTTTATAATCCATCTTCTCTATAGGAATAAGATAATTCTAAATATTAAAGGTTAATTATTAATTATTTGTGGATGTATAATTCAGCTTTCAGTTTGCCTATGTTTGGAAAACCACTCTTGTTGGTTAATACCATCTTTATAATTTCAACAATGATGGCTTACTGTCCCCATAACTAAATTTGCCTATAGAACAAGTCATTGAAACCTAAACAATTAGCCACAAGGGCCTGTCTAGGAAAGGAAAAATTATACCAGAGTCTGAAATATGAGTGAATTATTCTCATTATATGATAGATCATCAGAGTAGAATTAGAGTAGAAATAAGAAGTGAGAGGGTTTTACTGTCCTTCCAAAGTAACACCTCTGCGATTTGGCCTTACTGTTTTACATGAATGGAGACCATCAGACTCACCAATATTCAAATGCAAGTGAAACATTTGAAAACTAAGTCCATAGATCTTGTTTATTTGCCACCTTGCTTTGTCTCTTTGCATTAACTTTTGTTCTGAATATGAACAGATATGAACTAACTAAATTCTAAAACCTTATCTTCTAGCTGCATAAACATAATGAAAACCAAAAGGGCCTTTATGTCTCTTAACTGAGGCAAAAGCTGGAGACCAGATATTTTTATATACCTAGCAGGAAATATCTAAGACTGAGATGTTGGGTGTAATAATACCACTTGGCATTTGAATCATACACTGAACAGTTGTGTGTATGTGTGTGTTGTGCGTTCATGGACTTCAGAGGCAGAGAGAAACAGTATTTTCAAATAATTAACAGACAGAAGCACCCTAAAAATAATTAAGGGGGTATTATAATGACGGAGGTTATCACATAGTGTAATTTATAGAGGAAGATTAATTTCAAACTTTCAAATCCCATACAGGATGTAAATTATATGACTGGAAACGTTAGGGCAAATTAGGTACTCGATTTAATCACTGATGCTCTGGGGCATTCATATCTCTTACACAACTTCACCGCATGGACAGTCAAGGTTAATGCTCTGACGCCATTGTCTCCTAATTGAATTAGTAGCGGGAGTGAGAGATTGGAAAGCGCTTCAGGGATATGGATTAATCCCTTTTAGTACCTTGCCGACTCATCTCATGCAGGTCTGGTGTACATAGGCGCTTTCAGAGCTGTGTGCTGCTGAGAATCCACATAGTGCATCGATCCAAGAGCTATAGATCTACCACTATGATAGTCCACCCACCCGACCGTGAAGAGACAGAGTGAGTCTCTTCCTGAAATATCGTATAAACAAAACACTCTCCAAAGCCTAAACAGCAGGTTAGACAGCTCTAATCCACCAGCATTTCTGATGGCAGATGATTCTAGCTCGGCTGATTTCCCCCAAGTCAGTCTTCCATGTCCTAGCACAGGATTCCCTAGAGTCAGTTGCCAAAAAGCCACACGAACTGTTGTGATTAACTGCGCCACGGGATACCCCTCAAGCAACTCCTCCGTGCTCACTTGCACATGGCTCCCACTTGCCCTCCTGTCACTCTGTGCTTCTGCCTTATTTTCAACAAGCTATCAGAAAACGAGGCATAAAAATACAAAATGCTCCCCCCCCCCCCCCCCCGGGCCTTCAGTTTCCATGATGGAGGGAGAGGAAATCTAAAGGCTGATCTCCGGGAGGCCCCGGCTTCAGGAAACTGAGATCCTGGTCATTGCTTGGGGATGGCTTTGGAGTTGACACTAGAGTGATCGTGTTGCTTGTGAACCACTTGAGAGAAAAATAATGTAATGATCTAGGGGGTATGTACCTGGCCTCGAAAAGGTGAACGGGAACGAGGGGGTTCAGGGCTTGACATGGGCGGGCCCTGGAAGGGAGGTCTGCGCTGTCCCAGTTGCGCAAAGCGAAGTAGGTTAAGCGCTCGCCCGGCCCCCCCCCCCCCGTGCGCGCGCGCGCATGCGCCTCAGACGCAAGGCGCGCAGAGAGGCCCAGCTCCAATTTACGCCTCGCCTCGTAGACAAAGGCCCAGCGCACCCATGTCCGTATTTTAGTTCCGTAAAGCAGAGAATGCGCAGGAAGTCGTTGCTGCCCGGGGCCGGGGAGGGGAATGACGGCTTCGACACAGCAGTTCCCTCTGCTGCGCGGGGGGCCTGGCCACGCTCGAACCTAACCAGGTCATGTCTCCTTCCCTCCTTCCTTCATGCGCTCGCGCCGGTCGCCAGTTGCCATGTACCGAGAACCCTCTTTGCACGACGTCGGAGAAACGGCCCCGAAGGCCGGGGTGACGCCGAGTAAGAGCACAAGCGCGTCGGCAATAATGAACGGCGGCAAACCAGTCAACAAGAGTAAGACGACATAGCCAGATCCTCGCGGGTGTTGTGACTTTCTCGTCCTGCGCACAGTGGAGTGATTTATCCCGGCCAGACGTTCCCGCGCCGTGGCTGAGCGGCGGCCGGAGGCGAGCCGAGGCTTGCTCTCGCCTGTCTCGAACGTCTTGGCTGCGAGCGACACCGCTCCACCGTCGCGCGCCCGGAGCACGAAGACGCCTGGCCAGGCAGCCGAGCTCAGGCCGCGGAACGCCCTACCAGATGTGGAATGCCTTTTCAGTACCTTTTGTGACGTGACTCTTCATGGGAATGACACACTCCACAAGTACGCTCGACACCTTGCCTGCTGACAGCTACCCATGGTCCTTTTCGAGTCCCGTTCCCGCGAGACCCCTGTGTTTCCGTGCGATTTCGCAGCACAACGTACTCCCGAGTGATTCCTGGTTAGACGCTGTAAACCTGCGCTGTTAATGGGTTTCTCTTGTCCCCGTTTTCACAGGGCTGCTCGCTCCGCTGTCTGTGACCTTTGCAGAGATTGTACTCCTCTAAACCTTAAATGTGGCAGTTGGCCTAGTTCGGAGAGCGATCAAGGAATCAGGAAGCCTCCCAAACCTAGTGTTACAAATTGCACCCATAGAGATTGAGAGTGTCGCTTCGGTTCCCACTATCGATTAAACACACATACACGCTCTATCCAGTACGGATCCTGTGTTCTTGAGGTCGGCGTTGCCGGGGTGGGAAATGGGCCAAACACAGTCCGGGGGGGAGCTCTCTACCGTATGTGTTTGACCTTCCTCCCCCTACGGTTTCTCCGTGTGTGTGTGTGTGTGTGTGTTTTATACATATCACAAGCTTACTGGTAATGGTAACATTTGCCTTGCCCAGCGAGCAAGACCCACTGGTTTTTGAGAAAGTGGGTCCAAAGAACTCTGTAGGCCTTGTAGGCCTGATTAAGGTTCATTTTTCATCTACTGATCCTCGTTATTTGGAAAAAAGAAAAAAGAAAATTCAATAATTACAACCTACAAGAATTGCGCTACCTAAATCCATTTCCGATATAATCCTACCGGTTTTTAATGACCCGAACTGAATGCCATCCCCGGGTCTGGCTGCGTTCCACTCATACTCAGCAGAGCATGGGCAAGGCGGCTGTTGTGTTCTTTTCTGCAGCAGCAATGCAAACGTTAGTTACTAAATTAGACTTTAATATTTTTGGTGTTTAATGACAAGTTTTTAAACCGGACATATTAGGAACAACTATTTTTTTTAGCTCAGCATGCTGAGTCAGGTACTGTGTGTCTCACCACTCCATACCTGTAACTCAGCTTCTCGGGGCCCCGATAGCCCAGCGGCTGGGGTGAGGTGCCTTGCCATGAGCTCAGAATGCAGTCTGTTGAATTCTTCTGGATAAAATTCAAGGCAAACCAACACGTTCAAACATCAGGTTTTTGGTCCACTCCATTGATCTGCTTTTTGTTTTATTTTGCTTTTCTTAATTTCCTTTTGCCTAAGTCCGAGCGCAGGGAAGACAACCGCTAAGAAAGGTCACCAGTGGTTGACTGCACAGGGAAGAAACCATGCAAAACGTTCACGATGGGATGTAAGGAGTTTCAAAATGTGGAATACGAAACTGTTTGGAAATATATTTGTTAGCTCTGTGTATACTTAATAAAATTCAATGTTTCCTCCTCGGAAGAGTTAACTGAGACCAAACTGAACCTCATTTATAGAAAACTATACGCAGGATCATGTACTGGCCTCTTGTGATTATTTCCATGAGGAAGGCTGACCCAGTCGCCATCCCCCCCCCCCCCGCCCCCCTCTCCCCTTCCCCCCCCTCCCCGCATCTGCACTGTATTTCCCAGGAAATTATTTTGCCACTGCGTTCCTAAGTCTCCATGACAGCCCTTGCCCGGCATTTAAAAAATTTTGGCCTGCTTAGCTGATTAAAGATTTAGTATAAATTTAACTGTTTATGCTTACTTCATTTTCATATTGGATTTCATTTTAATAAAGAAAAAGTTAGCATAACGTTTGAGTAGATTTATTGTCAATAATGCTAAAGTACGAATACAACAAAACGATTCCTTCAACCATTCTTGATTTCTTGTGACACCATTTTAAAGCCTATTGTTTTCAACAGGATGAGTTAAAACCCATTAGATGGATTTCACGAACCAATTATTTAGGGGAGACATGTATTCTATAATCTGTGGCAAACCGAATTATTTAACTTGACATTCCAATTAGATGGGCTTATAGACACTGCTTGCCCCAACACACACACACACACACACACACACACACACACGTACACACCGAACAACCCCACCTATTGGTTTTTGGTAATCAGCCCTACTTGCTATTTTTTTTCCCCCCGCAAGCCTATTTATTGGTTAAAATTAAGACAAGATTTATTTTTGTAAATGACTGAGATTTATGTCAATGTGCACCTCTGTTTTGTTTTGTATATGAGTTGTCTCCAAGGGCATTTATCCCTATGAATGGATGTCAAATACTTTCTTCTAATATATGTTTAGACATATTGCCGACGGGTCCTTGTTATTTGTAAATTAGACGGTTTCCTTCGTGTCTGGTCTCACCTGTTGCATGGGACGAGGACAGCACTGAGGAACTGCATGTAGTAAGACCTGTGTATCAAGAACTGTTGGTATGTACTATTCAATTTACATACAAAGAGTCTGTCTGCATTGTACAGTTCCTGTGTTTAATACCATTTGTTGTATTCGCAAATACAACATACTGAATAAAATACTGATATGAAGGCATATTACAAAACATCAAACAACTTTATGTAACAAAATGGCATTGCTTCACCCACGAATATAGAGAAATGTCATGTAAATAAGTTGGTACACTCAATGTTCCCCTTGACCATGCCAAAGAAAATTTTAGCTCTTTGATGATACCTCTCTTGCTATTTTTCTGGGATAAGATGCCACCATTTTTTCCCCTCAAAAATTAAGTTTGCTGTTGTTAAGCAAGTGCAATCTGTCATCATTGATGTTCTGTATAGTAAATCTGATGGAATTCATTTGTATCTACAGACCGTGTGTTTTGTACCTCCATGTACATTTGTCAGTTGCATCGAGTCTCTCTAATGTTACATTCCTTTTGCATGCGTATCTGGTAGGGGAGGATTACTTCTACTGCTCTGTTACGGTAGCTGATTGCTTCACCCACCCCTCTGCAACCCTTGGGAACGTTCGTTGTTTTGATATTCCAGGGGACACCACTTTTATTTTCTTTTAAGTTTGCTTTCTAAAATATTTGGCTACAACTTTACTTGGAAAAATTATGGAAGAGATGCAGATGGTGCACCCTATGTAAAGAGTAAAATGGTACTGAGCAAGATTTCGTTACAAATCCTGCAGAATTTAGGGATTCTTGCCCTAAACATTTGCCTGCCCTGAGTGTTTGGGGATAGGAGATAGTTTTAGGAGCTCCACAAATAAGACTCCTGCTGCAGTCCTTCTAATTATTTACCTCTTGGAGAGTAAGCAGAGTGAGTATTTTTAACACACCGGGCCAGTTGCTCACTTAATGCCTAAAGCACTAAAACAGTCAGATGTTTTCGAGATGACCAATGTTAGATTTGGTTTTCTTTTAGAAAACAAAACAACAACAACAACAACTTCTTGTTCCTTAAGTTAGACATGTATCACTTCATTTAAGGTTTTATTCCTAATATTACAGGGAGAACTAATGTTTGAAGGAGAGACCAGATTGGCTAAGAAATCCATTTTAGGAGGAAATAAAATAATTGAAAACTATTTTCGATTGTATTTAAGAACAAGACTATTTCCAGGGAAAGCAATTGGCTAAACACAGACATACCAACATCCAGACGCAAACGGTGTTACTTTGGAGTAAAATACATTTCCTAGCTTAAGTTTCTTAGCTTACAAGGGGGCACACAAGGCCTATTGACTCTTGGATACTGGGTAGGGCTTCAGAGATTGATAGTGAGTCTGTAAGCAAAGGCTGAGTGGTGATTCGTTTTGGTTTTTTTTCTCAGTTATCATTCTGTCTGATCCTGATGTTTGCTGGCAAAGATTGTGTTTGCATTTGAAGTGGTGGAGGCCATTCCTTTCAAGGTGCTGCAGGAATCTAGATGAGCTCAAGGGGTCCTGGGAGAAAATGGGGTATAATTATTAGCCTCCTGGGTCTTAGGACCTTAGCTGAATTTTACTGAAAAGTCCTTGTGGAAGAATTCCTCAGTAACGGTGTGCCAACAAGCAGGGTGAGGGCCAACACCAGCAGCAGACATGTTGCATCCTTCCCAACTGACGTTAATCTCCCCATAACTTCACACGAACTCGAACAAGCCTATGAGCTTCGCACATTTACCCTTCCCCACTACAAGCCTGTTCCTGCCCTGCCTTTTTTTGAAAGAGGGAGTTTTTTACCTCAGTAACAGAATTAAAAGTTAAAATACAAAACCACATCAAAGAAGGGTAGGATTTACCTCTTTACATGTAACTGTATTTTATTTTTTCCAACTTAAACATGTAAATTAAATAACTTCTTAATAGGTCTATTGATGATTGCCTTGCTACAGTCAAATTCATATACACGCATACGAAATATTATAGCAGACAGAAGTAAAAAGAAACTATTTCTGTTTTAAAAGAAAAATATTCATTAGCGATTAGGTACCAGGTGACTTATTCTATGACTCAGTTTCAGTTCAATAACTTGTGGCTAAATCAACCCAGGAGAGAACTGACTGTCATATATTTTCAGCCTTGTCAAAAAATTTGAATAAATCACATTGCGAACTTTCTAGTATAATTTCTCTGTCTCGAAACTTTTCCCTAAAAAAAGTAAATGCTGAGGACACTGTTCTTATATGAAAATATAAAAAGAGAAGCCCTTTCTTTGTAGTTGTTAACAAAAGGGATAACAAACGTAGAGAACCGCAAGAAAAATAAGACACACCCAGGATTCCAGGGTAAGACAAAGGAAATTAAGGGCAGCTTTAGGAGAGCTCAGGTTGGCAAAATGCTGCCGGAAGGCTGGGAGCCAAATCGAGCACAGTCTGTTTTTGTAAAAATGCCCATGAGCTCCGAACGAGTTTGCTTTCTGTTTTCCCTTTTATAGTTCTAAAGTATTAAAAACAGAGAAGATCCAACAGAGATGTATGTGGCCCACAAAGTCTAAAATATTTACTCTGGTCCTTTATAGAAAGCAGAGGTCTGCAGGAGGGGAAGCTGAAGGTCGTTTGTATACGATGGCTTCTAGATAATGAAGGGAATTCTGATGATGGTGCATCATCGAGTCATCAAAAGTGCTGCTGAACAATTACAACAGGTTGGTTTGAGGCTTAAAACAATTAGATAGAGAGGAGGACAGAATATATTCTATATTATTTCTCAACTGCTTCTATTTCCCTCATTTTACAAAACCGATATATCAACGGACATACTCAACAAAAGAGATAAAACTAATACGGTTGCACTCCATAATCTCAGGATAGAGATAACAATTTTATAAATCTATTAAAGTATGAGAACACTATTAGTACTATAAAAGTCGGCATCAGATAAACTTTCTCCTAAATAATTTTCAATATTAAATTTTTAAGTAACTCGGCAGATGCATATTTTCCTTATTTTTGGTGACTTGACTTATAAAGTCCAAGCCATGACTCTAGAATATTTACATCATTAAGTAAAATTTCCAAGTAAAAATTTTCATCTTAAACAATGCGGAAAAAATGGTTTTGTTACATTATTCTAGGATTTTACAAAATATAATTCGCATTTAGGAAAAAAATGGGTTTTTTTAGCTCCAAATAATTAACGGTTGCCTAAACTAATGTGTGTAAGTAGATTTAACTGTAAATATGTAAGGGAAGTCCTAATTATTGTACATTTTCATAATTCAATGTGAATTTCATACAGAGCAAAATTTCACCATTAAGAAAATAAACATTTTGTTCCTATCGCTGAGTGAATATTTGTAATTTCTACTTAACACATTTCTAGATTTTTTTTTAACCCTTTGAGCTTTGAGACTGGCGTCATTTGATCACAGTATCTCTTCGTGACTTCTTGGCATGACCCTACTTTTGCAGTAAATAATGTGTCCTTAGAAATAAGAGTCTTTTAAGGGAAATGAATGCATATTTCAGGCCCATCGTAGGTCCAATTAGATATTGTCTTTTTAAAACGCAAGTTACCATGGAATAATTTAAATAGTGAAAAATCAAAGAGCTTGTACTCCTACCCCTGCCCAGTTTAAAAAGGGATCTAGGAACGTAAGGTGCCCCTGAATACCAATTCATTTTGTGTTGTTGTTAATCAGCAGTAGGCAAATATATATTGACGCAGATTGTAAGCAACTTACGTAACTATTTATTAAAAATGCCAAACTGTACATTTTTCATACTTCCTTCCTGAGAGAATCTTCTTTTGTGAGTTTAAAGTGAGATCAGACGAATGACTTACTGGCTAAAACTGACCAGTCTTTTTCTTTAAAAAGCACTGGTGATCCACCCTCTGCCCCCCACCTTCCCCGCCCCCTGACATTTTCCCTTATGCGTGCCTGTCTTTATTGTCCCCACAGAGAAATGCTGAGTGACAGGGATTCCTGCAAAAAAATATGATCGATGGATTTATGTGAGGGTATTTCCTTAGATTCTCATGGGGTCTTTCTTGTGAGGGATATGCATGTCTAAGGACCATGTAATTCAACGTTTCTTAACTCTGGCGCTATTAACGATTGGAGTCCGCTAACTTTTTGTCGTGGGGGCCGTCCTGGGCACCGTAGGATGTTTAAGCAGCATCCCTGGCCTCTACCCATTAGAGGCCTGTAGCACGCCCTCCCATCCCACCCAGTGTGACGACTGAAACTGTATACATTGCCAAGTGTTTTCCGGATGGCAAAGTCACCCTTGTTGAGAACCACTGATGTAAATTCTGGAAGAGACATTCTTTCTGGCGTTATTTACTTCAGACTTTGCTTAATTCATTTTTTAATAGGGACCCAGACTTCATGCAGGCATTCAGAAACAGAAAAACATACAATAGTCTCTTTGACCTGTCCTAGTGGTGATTATATAGGGTTGCCTTTGCATTTATATTGTTCTAATGGAAAAGGAAAGACTCCAGTCCTCTCCTATGTAACTGTTAAGGATACTCTGTGCCAAGCCAGATTTCACATGCATTTCCGTTCCATCCATCCCAGCACTCACAGTTCCCGCAATTACAGATTCCATTCCCTGCAAGAAAATACACGGGGGATCACCATCATGACCGAAAGGCACCAAGTTAAAAAATGTTCTTATCAACCACAGCCGCTCATAGTCGAAGCCATCCCATTCATGCTCTGCAGCCACCTTATTATGATCTCATTAAACAGCTATGGGAAATCTGATCTTTCAAATGACTGCTGGCATCCACTTAGTGCCACCAGCTAGGCAGGATCCATCCAGTAGTGCCCACCCTGTTTCATTCCAGCTGGGCTTTGCCTCCATCTCTCTTTCCCCTGGAGCTTGTTTAAGCACATGTTTTATAAGCAGTTCTCAGGACTCCATCATCGGGAAGCAGCCCCGACCACACAGCCATGGGCGGCACCACAGGGCGGGCGCTGTTGGTCTTTCCCCCGAGCGGGGGTACGGGGCGAGCAGAGCAGGTCATACCACACCTGTGCAAACGAGGCCGTCGTGCTTGTCACAGTCCCTGTCGTCACAGTCACAGAGTTCTCCGGAAATATACCACTCCTCCGCAGAGCAAATGCACTTTCCACAGTGGCAAGAACCTGAAATCACAAAGGGCACGACTTGCTGTCAGCAAGTAACTAAAGGTTGCTGTCTAGAATAGAACACCGTCAACGCACGGACAAGAGGCTTCTAAAAACCCATCTTCCCAAGGTACAAGTTTATTGAAGAGCCTGTTGCTCAGAGGGGAGCTTTACTTACCACAATCCATAAAGGTCATCCAGGAAAGGCTTCATTATGGATCTAGACCGTTGCAATTAGCCTTGAGCAAATGTTCCATGGCCTAGTCTGGTTGAAATGTCAGTAAGAGCAGAATGTGCTGATTCTTATAGATGGCCTTCCAAAAAGGTGTTCAAAAACAGATGCTTTTCTCTCTCTCTCTCTTTTTTGTTTTCCTGAGTTGAATCATGTTTTAAAAGTGTCTGCTCTTTAAAGGAACTGAACGGTAAGTTCTAGTAAATAAGGATGCATTTTATAATTAAAATTACTACTAAATTATTGGGCTTCTACTTTTGGATTTTTGTCTACATGATTTTGTGAAAGGAGGGACACACCTGCGTATTGGGTGGCTCGTCAATGTGCTCAAAATGCACACACGACTACTCGTGGGCATCTGACTTATGGGCTCTCACCCCGGGGACCCCCTGCCACGATCAAGGAGAGCTCTAATCTCCCCCCAAAAGTTCATCTTCTATGAAGCTCTGCCAACTTTCTCACCACTTCACCCATTTCCCCTCTTTTTATTTCCTAACCAGGAAGAAACTTCCACTTCTGCTATTAAAAATATCTTGGTGTACTGAAAAACAATTTTATGAATGGTATATTTAAAAGGAGAAAAAACACACGAATTAAATGATCTCACAAAGAGAAGAAAGTTCTCTTGGTCTACACGTCCTTACATGACAGGCTCAAAAACCCCCACATGGCAAAATGACTTCTATAGCGGCAGTAAAGACAACTTTAAAATTGAAAAGGAAACACACATCAAAAGGACTTCCCCTTCCTTCTATGTCTCTGGCTTGGATGTTCCTTCCCAATGTGATTTCCTTTTACTAAATGAGGGCTATCACTGCATGTTTCAGGTCAAAAATCACCTTAAGAGAATGTGAAGGAGAAAAAGCATTTTGATATATTTGACAAAAGTCCAGACTTGTTAAGTTCAAAATGTAATGGGAGCGGGGCGGGGACCAATCACTAATTAGTGCCTCTGTCAGACACAGTGATTGAGAAATGAGTGTGCAAGCTGGGAGATAAAAGTGGTTAGAGAAAGGAATATTTGCCATAGATATCATGAAAGGATTCATATAAACGGGTCCCGTGCCTCAGGCACTTGGTGGTATTTCATACGGAAACTGGCATATGCATTTAGCTATAAGAATCCCCAATGGCCAAATTAAACGTGTGACATGCCTTGTTATGCTTCTCAAGGTAAGGGGCGGGTCTGAATTAGTGATAGGCTGACAACTGTGTTTACACTGATCAACTCCTTGCTTAAGCACAGCATGATTTCATTTAGTCTGGACTGTTTTCCTGAGGGTCTAGGATGAGCTGCACGCTCTTGAGCACAGTCTAGACATCTCTCGCTTCTGATGAGTGACTGGCAGGCTGCATAGGACCCAGGAGCTGAGCCTCCTGGTCAGTCCGTGAGGGATGGTGGCTCCTTCTTGGCTACATCCAGGTAGAGAGCTTCCTTAGTTTAGAACTGTATTTAACTTCACTTCAAGTACTGTCTTTTGATCTTCGTAGGCACAGAAATGTTCAACATACAACTACTCATTTAGCAGGTGGTTAGCAATATATCTACAACAAAGAAAACTTGGGGCATTTCATTGACTTTTCATTGCAATTTCCTCAGAAGGCACCGTATTTAGTGCCTTCTTTCCACGAGTAGAGGAAGATTATTTGCAGAATTTGACTGGTTTTAGTTGTTTCTAAAATAGTGCCTCCCTTATATTGCAAAATTAGTTCTAGAAAGAAGCAGAAGCAAATGACTTTATATGTCCATGATATTCGTGTATCACACCTAGGATATCTTCTTTTATTTGGTCACAATTCATGAAAAGATCTCACATTTCACTTTTAAACTTATCGCCTGGCTCTGAAACTATTCTCATCACTGCTCTAGCTTCTGAAATGCTTAGCTTCAGGCCATATCAACGTAGTTTCCCCAAACTGATAAGCTCAGCTAAAGTTAATATGGTATACACTGATAGACCGTTTGACAAGTAAATCCCAGTTCCCAAAGTCTACTAGTTACTGAAATACTTAGAATGCAAAATGCGGATTGGTTTTTGTGTGTGCTGTGAAAACTAGCTTTTCTTGGTCAGCATCTTCCCCAGCTGTGTTGCTCCTTTCCTGTTTGTCAATTCTCAGTGTATCTTAGAGGTCGGAAATTCTTCCACAGCTTGTGAAACTAGGAATAGCCTCGCATGTAATAACACAGTGGGATAGTTATGAGGACCTCTTATAGCCTTTGTCTATGGTCTGGCTGTTTTCATCGATAACCAGAGGTCAAACTGCCTGTCTCTGCAAAGGGAAAAACTGAGGGAGAGGATTCTGTCGGACACACACAGGCCACATGACTGCCAAGAGGTGACCAACTGTTTAGCTCAGCTGGCTGGGACCCACTCACACCCATGAGGCCAGTCCAGCCATAGGAGAAGCTGGCCCATGCAGGCAGGAGCTCCCGGGTAGTAAGCCCAGGACCGCAATATCACTAACCCATTTACTTTCTTTCTCGCTATAAGGACCCGCAAGAGGGCTCCGATCTCTCTTCTGTGCTTCTTATTGGCTTCCATTCCCGGGGAACCAGCTGCATTTTCTCATTTATCTTCAAAGCATCCTTAGGACTTAAGAAGGGGAAGGAAATGAAATTCTCCTGCCTTCAAACAAAGATGAGAAAATGGAAGTACAGACAGGATAAGAGGATTGCCCAGGGCCACGGGGGCCAGAAACAACAGTTATCCCAAGGTTTCAATCTGACTCAGTCTGTTCTTCTGTCTACCTACCTACCTATCCATAATGCCCCTCACAGGAAAAACTTCCATGTAGTTTCAAAAAAGGAGTTGTGTGTTCTCACAGCTCTGACGAGATAGCCGCATCGGGGAAGCAACTAGAACACTGGGCTAAAGCTGGTTTTTGAAGGGCAACTGGTACTCTTCCCCTTTCCTGGGGGTGGAGGACGAGCCTGGGTGGAGCAGAGGGGATGACAGGCGGGTGCGCATGCGCACCGTGACATCCACGGCTGATGCAGGACTCAGCAAGTGTCCTTGGGAGAGTTTAAGGAGACGTCCAATGATACACAACCACAGTCATCGTAACACAACAGCAGCTTTAAGATATTACAGGTGACAACCCGGATCTAGGTTGAAGTTATGAAGGTAGAAAGGCTGTTGGGTCCTCTTGGATCCAAATAAATAAATCCCCAAACAAACAGCCTAGGAATTATGTCATGTATTCCGCAAAGGTGGCGAAACTCAGGGGACACCTGGCTCTAAGCTCATCCCTCTGGCCATTCACAGAAACAATTTGAGTCTAAGGGCAAGGCACCTTTGTTAGCGGTCCCATTAATAAAGTTGGACTTTCTTTTTCGTTCATCAAGCCTGACAAAATGCTGCAACCTGACATGCCAGTAGGGACTTCTCACGATCGTACTAACTACTGCATCTGTTACGAAGGTCACCACAATGTATCTTGTTTTCAATTTTTCTATGGAGTGATTTGTTGTCTTGGCTATCAATTTGTAAAGAAATAAAATGCTATTTCTTCATCGTCTCCTGAGGTGACAGCTTTATTCACAGCTCACGGGAAGCGCATGTTCCAGACTTATCTTTCTGGTGGAAACACTTAGATGGCAGTCACCTCAGGCTTACTGCACATGCCTGTCCCATATTTGGAGAAAGAGAAAGGCTCCAACTTCCTCTGCGATCATCAGGGCGAGGGGTTTTCGTTTGCAAATTTGGGAAAAAGTATGTGGAATTCTGGCAAGTCCATGAGATCAAGAAATACATGGTCCTGGTCAAGGCCCACTCCTCTATCTTGCCACCATGTTAGAAAACCGTTAGTCTACTTCCTGGACTACTTTTCCTGTGGTTCTTGGGGTGGGGTTGGAGTGGCACCTTCCATGGGGACAGGAATAACGGCTGCACCCCCGTTCTCCTCTGTGCCTACAGTTTCATGATCTTAGCCCCTTTCTTCCTGTATAATCCAGCACAGAACTCTCCAGAACAGGAGGAGAGAAAAAAGCCAGAGCCAGACGCTGCCAACAGCGGGAAGGCCACCATCAGCACTAACACCAGCCTCAAAACGTACAGCCTCCGGACAGCTTTCACATTCTCTTCTGAGTTTAACGACTCTGAAACTCTCTACTCACTGAAGGATAAACCGCTTAGACAAATAGACTTTCAACCCTTCATTGATCTCTGGATATATTACCATCACCCAAAGCAAACAATTTGAGAAGGCATTAACTAGAGAGATTTCCTTGTTCTGTTTTGTTTTGAGGAAATGCCTTTGGGTCAATATTTAGTCAAGCTATTCTTTTTGCATTTTCTGCATCTGTGATGCTGAAGAGTAAGACTCTCCTCAGAAAGTAATGGCTTTAAAAAAGAACGTTCATTTCTTCAAAAGAAATGGCTCCTCTTTGTATGAAATTCAGTATAGCAAACGACAGACTGGTATTTGCTATCTGGGTGAGCACGGCTTTGTGCTTTCTGCCTGTACCTGCCAGTGGACATGACTTAGCCAAGGCCTGCTCGTGGACAACGTTAATGATTCCACAGTGTGTCTAGTAAATACACACACACACACACACTCCCAAAGTGGCTGATTTTTTAAAGTAAACTAATATTAACGAGCACACTAATGTTTTAATATGACTGGGAATCCTCATTCTGTAGAGTTTCTGGGAAAATTTACTATCCTCATTCCAACAATAATGCCATCATGGAAAACCAACTAACAAAAAAATCTAAGCTTTAGAGCTCTGTGTTTAGAGCTGTACTCAGAAAGAAGAAATCGAATTCAGACAAGGTTAATCATTCTCGCCCCTTGGTTATTTGCAGGACACTGCCTTCTGATCTGATAACATTTCTTCCCCCCTCCCCCCGCACCCCTCCCCCCCCCCCGCCCCCCCGCCAGTTTCCCCCTGAAAGGTTAAATCCATCCCTACCTCCTTTCCTGTTTTCTTTGTTAATCTCCTCCTCCACAATTCTTTCACCCTTTCTGGCTCTCCCAACAGAACTTGAACCTAAAGCAGGTGTTTCCAGGCATTGAGAGCCCCTGACAGACAGACTGGTGCTAGATTCATCTGGGAGTTGGAATTAGAACGAGTTTAATAAGAGAACAAACAGGGAACAAAGTGGTTGCTTTAAACTCCTTCGATTGCCACCTGACGGTTACCATTGCATTAGGTGGAAAGCACGGCCTCCTTGGCAGAACACAAAGTCTTGAGGGTAAGCAGGGCATCTTCACCTCTAGCTGTGCCTTGTCTGAAAAGGGGACAGGGCTGTCCGTTGGGCAAGGAGGCCTCTGTGCTGAAGAAGAGAGTCTGGACACCCTGTGCCATCTAGATGCATGAAGGGCAGCTCCTGAACGTTACTGAGAAACTGGTGAGCTTCCAGAACCTTCCTGGTATTTTCCTAGGCACTAGCAAGGAGGAATGTGATAGCCTTCTAGATGAGCCCATATGCACCCTGAGAACAGGATTTTAAAGTCCCTTCAAGAATTCACACAGAAACATCAACATCAAGGTGCCTGAAATTTAATCTGTCAGTATTCTTTCTCAGAAAAAAAAAAAATCTGTTTTGCTTTTCTGGGGGACTTCAGGGGACAATGGGCGGGATTGCTATTCTTCTAGAATTTGTTTCTGTAGTGAATGTTTGAATGGGATGGTGGCTCCTATTCAATCAACTTGCAAATTATAAACACACTGCAGGCTTGATTTTTGTTATATATTAGATTACACATGTTTGGTTGGAAAATTGGTGATTTTTAGGCCAAAGAAAATGACGCCAGAACTTTGAGACCCATAGACTCTTCCATTCCTTTTTTATGAAACAAAATACTTAGTTTCCCTTTTGTCTTTCTCCCACCTTCAGCCCTCCCCTCCTCCACACACCCACCTACATCATCCAGTGTCTGACAGTTCAGATACTTGGGATCACTTTTCTGCAGTTCTGGGCTGCGCTATTTTCACAGGTGAACGCAACAATTACCCCTCTGCCTTTTGGGAGGTCCATTCACCGCCCATTAGATCTCGTCGTCTTTTCTTCTTTATACATTAATTACAGGTCACTGAGCCACGACGATGGACGCAAGGGGCTGAGGACCTTTTCGCAGGAAACCCTTCGCACGCATTTCATTGTCTTAGAACCCACGCGTCATGCGGTTGACCTTCAAGTCTGAAGTCCGGTACAAGCCTAGGGCAGCATGCTTTTCATTCCTGCAAGGTGCCGTCTGGGGAGGCCTGTATGCGAGGCCGTACAAACCATGCGTCAGATCGGGGACCCGGTCCGAGCTCCGGCAGGGATACTCACCCTTCCCCGAGCACAGTATGCCGTCCGCTGACTCACACAAACTCTTGCTTTGTTCCTCCGTCAGGTTACACTTCCGCGGGTGCTGGCAGAGCTCCCCGAACCAGCCTCTCTCACACACGCAGCGACCACAGGAGCAGGTTCCGTGGCCTGCGAAGCAATCGCGGGGTGAGGGGGCGAGGAGGGGATGGGCAAACATCCCGCGGAATCGCAGTTCTTAGGAAAGAAATACCTAAGCCAAAGGACCTCATTTCCTATCAAGCAAACACGCTTCCCTTTATACAGAGGCAATTGGGCATACTGTTTAAAAGGGCTTCACAACCGAGTTCCAGATTAACATGCTACATTTGAATGTAGCACAGGAGATGGTCTGAGAAAGAAAGCAAGCTTGAAACGATTTAAAATGGAATGTTACCATCCTTCCTTGATACAAGATACTCCCTCATTTGCATTTTTAACAGCACGAAGTCTCATCGCGCTGGCCGTGACATCCAGACCAACTTGCAAGGCTAGTCACGTTACCATGGCTCGCTGAATTTATTGATTGCCCTCCTATTGTTTACTAATAAAAAAAAAAGGTTAACTTCCATAGGAATGGCATTATGTTACTTTATCTCTGTACCCTCCCTTTAGTAAAAACAGATATAAGTTTAAGTCGATTTATTGTATAGATTTTAAAAGCAGCATAAGGCTTAGATTCGTATCTTTGACTTTTTTTTCCCCCTTTTGTTTTTGTCATTGGCTCCTGGTTCTGGGGATGGCTAGTTTTTGGTGTATCTATCACACTGTTATTTATGACAGTCACTCACCAGCATAAAGTCCATCTAATTGCTTGCCACCAACATCCCATTACATTGTCTCATCTGCCACTTTAATTTCTTATTTTCAACCAATGCTTCATTTTTTTTAAAAATTTTATTTATTTATTTATTTATTTGAGAGAGAGAGAGAGAAACAGCATGAGAGGGGATAGGGTCAGAGGGAGAAGCAGACTCCCTGCTGAGCAGGGGGCCCGATGCGAGACTCGATCCCGGGACTCGATCCCAGGACTCCAGGATCATGACCTGAGCCGAAGGCAGTCGCTTAACCAACTGAGCCACCCAGGCACCCCCAATGCTTCATTCTTTTACCTGTATGTACATTACCTTACAGTCAGGTCTCTTCAAACAGAACAACCAAAAAACTATTTGTTGGGTAAAATTTTGCTGATGATGAGCAGAGCATTTTCCTAGGCACCAGGGGATACAAAATCAAGCATGGCAGACATGATAGGTAGTTTTAACTGCTGCGTAGTTTAAAGGTATACAGCTGGCATTCATGGACACTTTCTTCTTGAGAAGTCTCTCCTAGAGTGGTTTTCATGACCTGGGACCCTCCTCCTTCCAACACTTCTCCTGTGTCTATTTTTCTACTTTTTTTCCCTGACCTAATTAATGAGAGTATCCCCTGATTATCTAGTCTGAAACTTCTTTTATCTCTCCATAATCTCTCTTTTGAAAAATTCATAAATCACAGGCTTTCAGATAGCAGCAATGATCAAAGGACTGTATCTCCAGCCTCTAAATTTCTCCTAACGTCCACTCCCGTGATTGCATTCTTTGTATTCTTTTTTTTTTTAAGATTTTATTTATTTATTTGAGATAGAGAGAACATGAGAGGGGGGGAGGGTCAGAGGGAGAAGCAGACTCCCTGCTGAGCAGGGAGCCCGATGCGGGGCTCAATCCCAGGACTCCAGGATCATGACCTGAGCTGAAGGCAGATGCTTAATGGACTGAGCCACCCAAGCATCCCACATACTTTGTATTCTACTAGCATCCAAACTGACCCTTCTAGACCTGCATCTACAGTTGTTTTTCCCCCAGTTGCTCTTCTGTAGTATCCATTTCTTTTAATGGTGCAACTAGCCTTCCACTCACCCAGTTCAAACTATTTTGAATCAAGTTTGAATCTCTCTTACACCCCTCTTCTAAAGAGTTGCCAGAACCTGTCCACCTGTGTCACCATCAACAACCTTTGAGAGACCTCCTATCAGGTCTTTCAGTTGTGCTCACTGCTTCTCATAGTGTGACTCCACTCACATATAGCCTTGAGCACCAGCCCCGTGCAGCTCCCTAATGCTTTTGGGATGAAGTTCACCTGCTTAGCCTTACTTACGTTTTAGGTTCCTGAAATACACCCTGCCCTACTTTTCCAACATCACCCCCTCTCTTCTCTTCTCCCCTTGCATATACTTCTTGACTTAAACTGATCTATTCATTGTTCTGCATACATTTCCTGGGCTTTTCTGACTTCATGCCTTTGCTGAGATAGAAACCCATTCTCCCTACCCTACATAGCCTGGTCCTGATAATTTTCAAAGCTCAGGGAACGTGACTACACATTTTTTTCTAATGATTATTTTTCTAATATTTTTTCTAATATCCCCAAGAGAAGTTCATTGTCTCCTCCTCTGAATTTCTATACTACCTTATTTTTCACCTCTATTGTGGAACTTTGTCTTGAACTTTGTGGTATCTGGTTATGTGTCAAATAAACCCATTATCTGACTGTAAATTCCTTGAGAGTAGGAATCACTTCTGATTCATCACTGTAGTCCTTCAGAGTGCCAAGCACACGGCCCCAGACATAGTGAATCCTCAAAACAATACTTGTAGATTGAAATATTTTTTAAACGATTTTATTTATTTATCTGACAGAGAGAGACACAGCGAGAGAGGGAACATAAGCAGGAGGAGTGGGAGAGGGAGAAGTAGGCTCCCTGTGGAGCAGGGAGCCCGATGCGGGGCTCAATCCCAGGACCCTGGGATCATGACCTGAGCCAAAGGCAGCCGCTTAACCAACTGAGCCACCAGCAGCCCCTGAAATCTTTTTTTTTTTTTTAACAAAATCTCCTTTTCATTTTTCCCCCCACAAATCTCAGCTGAGAACCATAAACTGAATCCAGGGCATGTTTATAGGTCATCTGGTTAATACACTGTCACTGAAGGACAAAGGACAGTTCTTGGATGGCTCTGTTTTATTTTTGCATTTGATAGGATGCAGTGAAGTTAGAGAATCAGTACCCTCTAAGAGCTACATACACAAAAAATAGTTATTAAATTGATTATATCTTGACTTCCCCAATAAAACAAAAGTCCACTTAAAGTGAGGTCTATTTAAGACGTTAAAAAACATCATCCATCTTGGGAGGCAGATAAGCTGGGATACTTCTATGCACCAATTACATCCAGCTCAGGACTTTCCAAATGTTCACGTTTCTTTTTTTTTTTTTTTTTTAATATTTTATTTATTTATTTGAGAAGGAGAGACAGTGAGACAGTACAAGTGGGGAGGAGAGGGAGAAGCAGGCTCCCTGCAGAGCAAGGAGCCCGACATAGGGCTCGATCTCAAGACCCTGGGATCATGACCCGAGACAAAGGCAGACGCTTAACTGACTGAACCATCCAGGCGCCCCCAAATGTTCACGTTTCTTACTGACCCTGGGCTAGTAAGAATTTCCATCAATTTGACATAATTGGAATCATTTAATCTCTATTGCAGAGAAAGCCATTCTCCCTTTAACTTAGGATATCATTGAGAATAACTAAATGGCTCCTCACAGCAAGTAATTTAATATAAAATTTATATTCAAGGAAATAGGAGAAATAGGAAATATAAGATTTCCTTATAATCAAGGAAATTGTTTTTCGTTTATTAGCTCATTCATCACATCATTCCACAAAATTAGGTTGGCATCTAGCCCAGACAATGGTCAAAATGCATTGGTATTTAAATGTTCTGTTTTGCCATTGACGTGGCTTTTCTTTACCTCAAATTTTGTTAAAATCTTTATACAATCTTTTTAAAATAAACTTTAATGATATAGGCATCCATTCGAGAAACTATTGATTGTGCACCAGGCATCACACTAGTTCTATTGTCATGGTTCTTATAGTTCACGAGGGTAGAGAAAAGGACACAAAAACACTTGAGCTGTAGGAGAACTAAAGAGGGCACTAGTGCATTCTACAGCGAGAACAATGCTAACTGGAGTCGTCAGAGAGGTAGTCAGAGAAGGATCCCTCCGCGACACCCACGGGATAAGAAGCCAAGATAGCCAATGTTCTAGGAAAGCTAATGAAAAGTTCTTGGAATAAGAAAGCTTGGCATGTTATAGGCAGTGAAAAAAGGTCAATGTGTTCAAAGAAAATTGAGTAAGAAAATAATGGAATAAATAACAAAGCCAGAGAAATATTCAGGAATGAGAACAGAGGAAATTGTCTATTCTTGGTAAGGAGTTTCAATTTTATTCTCAGAAAAATGGGAAATCATAGAAGGGTGTTAGGCAAGAGAGTGAAACGATATGATTTACAATTTGCAAATTCAGCGTGGCAACTGGGTGGGGGAGATTAAGGTGTATTGGGAGGCACCAAGTATGGGCTAAGTGACGGAGTTGCAGCAGTCCACGTGGAAGGTGATAAGGTGGAGGCACCGATGAGGAGAGTAGACAGAGGGGGTCGTGCCTATGGGACTTGGTGTTGGATTGGACGTGGTGAGAAAGGACGGACTAGTTTTCTAGCTAGGGAAATATAAATCATGATGCTATTTGCTAGATATGGAAGCAGCAGGAGGGCATTGCTGGGAGCAGAAAATCAGCTCTTGCTTTGAACCTCGTGTATCTGAGATGCTCTTATCAACCAAGTAGACAGGTCACAGGAGCAGGTGACACGAGTCTGGTGCTCACAGGTTAGGGCTAGGTTATATATGCTGGAATTTCCAATAAATAGATAACATCTGGAAGTGAATGAGTCCACCTAGGGAGAAATAAATCTTAGGGAACTCCAATATTTAGGGCTCGGGTAGAGGAGGAGAAACGGGACAGGTAGGAACATCTAGTAAAGAAGGAAGACAATGAGGCAATTTTATAAAAGGACAAGGGAAACTATTCCATAAAGGTGGCCCACTGAGCGGAATGTTGCTGAAAATTGGAGTCCAAAAAAAAAAAAAAAGACCATGAGAGTAGTTTCAGTCAGCTTTTGCCAGACCATCTCTACTATGCTGTCACTTAGGCCTATAAATGAAGCACCCAGCCGTGGAAGACTTATTGGAATATAATGCATATATACCATTCAGTAAGAACAACATGTCTGCTGGGTGGCAGAATCCATAGTGGTAAGTTATCTTCATATAATAAATGTACAACAGATCATTCTAGAATGAACCTTAGAAAGATCCAGCCTAATGAACTATTTGAAGTACACTAAATCGGCCTTCACTTGACTTCCCAAGTCTCCACACCGGTGAGTAATTTTCCATTTGATTTTCATTTCCAAAGCCACTCACCTCTCCCAGATACTTAGCTCCTGGTATCCCCATCCTTGCTCTTTCTTCCTATTCTCTTCCCTTCCCCTACACCAAAATATTCACCAAGGATGCTCCAGACCTGTGTTGCCCAATATATTAGTCACTAGTCATGCATACTATTTGAATTTATTAAAGTTAAGTAAAAAAGTTAAATAAAAAATGTTAAATGCAGTGTCTCAGGTGCACTAGTCACATTTCAAGTGCCTGGTAGCTACGTGTGGCCGGTGGCTCCTGGGTAAAATGATGCAGATACAGAACACTCCCTTTATCTCTGAAAATTCTATTGGACAGTGCTACTCTAGACAAAGACCATTTCCAATGAAATTCACTGGCTTTGAGACACATTTCCTTAAAATACTGCAATGGTGTTTCTCAACTAGGAAAATGACCCATGAGTGGATCTAACTGCATCAGGTACTCCATATTGCCTGCCCAATACTCTTTTCCCCTTGTTAATATTAGGGGGACACTTATTTTTTTTTCAGGGAGGTGATAATATGCCCATCTGAAAATGTTTGATTACCCAGGCTCCTTTTGATCTAAGACACAGCTCTAACAAATGAGATATAAGAGAAAATCTCTTGGGTGAGGTTTCCGGGAAAGCTACTGTCATCCAAAGAAAATGAGACAGACTCAGCCAGCATGTGTCCTTTACTCTTTGCCCTTTGCCCTTTTCGCTCCCATTTTTTCTCCCCTAGAAGATAGACACACTGGAGGCTTTCTAGGAGCACAACCATAAAAGTCACACCGGAAGGGCAGAAGCAAAGACAGAGATGTGTGGGACGCTGATGGCTCTCGGGTAGTCTCCTCACCATCCATCCCTGGAGTGACAACCTGCAGATACATTTCTGTGAATCACCTACAGTCCTGACTGGTACACTTAGGAACTCAGAGAAGAGGTTTGTGACTTAAGATATAATCTGGAGATAATCCCCCTGCTACCCAAGCTAAGAGAGGCTTGGCTTGAGTCAGTGGTTGGAGACCTTGGTCAATGTGAGCAATCCCGCAGCTCCTAGGGGTCACTATCCTCATTATCCTCAGGCTGCATGTTCTCCTTCAATTTACAGCTATGAACTAAAGAACTCCCAGAAGAAATGTGAGCTGATTGTGTAATTAAGAGGTGGCTCTTCATTATCCCTTCTTGTTTCTTCCATGGGACCCATGGGCAGCAGCTATTCCAGGAACCCAGAGGAAAGAAGAAAATCAACAAGCAGGCCATTTCCTATTCCTATCTCGGGTAAATGGAGGACAGGACGGAGGTCTCTGATTAAGTTTCTATTAGCCTAAAACAATTAAACACACATGAGCCAACATGTGGATCTATTTTCTTCATGAAATCTTAAAATCGAACACCACTAAAAAGTGAGTAATTCTTAGGGATTATCACTCTGGACAGAGCATGTTTTTTTTTTTTTTCAGTAGTGACATATTTGATTTAAAAAAATCCATGCACTTACAGATCACATACAATTTTCATTGTTAATAAAGATGTTTTGAGAAGGTCTGCATGTGGTCTACGATCATTGAACGTGACTCACCAATAATTTAATTAAAGTAAGAAGGGTCTTACTTCATACCAATCTTCTGTTTGCCAGTCATTTTCATGACTCTCATTTTCAGGTCGTAATCTTGGTGTAATCAAAACTGAACTGCTTAGAATTATGTAATTATTTACATTCATCTTCAGGTACAATTGCTAATTTACCCCACCTACTGGAACTGGTTTCATCATCTTCAGTGTTACTGTTAGGAGGAGATAAGCAGGGCTAGTTATTATTTCTCATGTGCCTGCTGATTTGGTAGGTTTATGGATGCATTTGGTTTTACTCAGCCCTTGTTTGCTAAAGTACTCAGGCTGTCTCTGCTTGGCTCTCTGGCCACATGCTCAATGCACAGGGCTCTAGTTCATCTCTCCAGGTGAAAGACCACGCAAACTATGGCTCGGAGTCTGACGGTGAATGGAGAAAATGACTCATATTACTGACCTTCAGTTTTGTTCACCTCTGAAGCCACACCAGATGGATGATATTAATGAGTTTCACACACTCCTACTAGCAAGATTAGTTAACCCCTGGTTGCCACGTGAGGGGGAGACTAAATGTTTTGTACAAAGAACTGCCACTCCTACGAAACACAGAACTGATGATTCATATGATGCCAACTTCCTTCTAAAAATTCCGCAGCTAATGCTTTAAGATAGCCAAGACAGATGCATTGTTTTCTCTTGTTCTGAAGATGGACATTTCATTTTTTTTTAATATTTTATTTATTTATTTATTTATTTATTTATTTATTTATTTATTTGACAGAGAGAGAGAGACAGTGAGAGCAGGAACACAAGCAGGGGGAGTGGGAGAGGGAGAAGCAGGCTTCCCGCGGAGCAGGGAGCCCGATGCGGGGCTTGATCCAAGGACCCTGGGACCATGACCTGAGCCGAAGGCAGACGCTTAACGACTGAGCCACCCAGGCACCCCTGAAGATGGATATTTCAATCTTTTGCTTCCATTGCATGCACAGGGCATGCCTGGATGCCCACTTGGCCTGCAGTCGCAGGCACGTTTCATTCCTTATGTCTCCTTCTCACCATAAAGAAAATCGGTGGGCATTATGATCCTTACCACACACGTGAGTGTACCAAGGCAGAGCCCAAATAACCTGTGTAAGTTACTACAGCTTGTAGGAAATGGAGCCAGAATCCAAATCCTGGTCTGTCGGAATAGGAGATTCACATTCATCTTGCTGTGTGGTAATGCTCACTTAGCTTATAAGAAAATGATGACTTCTACTCACTTAAATCTTTTCTGAAAGAATGCAGCCGAGTGCACACATACCAGAATGCGGACTTTCTACAGACAAAATATCAAAATAGCCAGAGAAGATTCATAAACCAAGATTTAAAAAAAAAGTTCTATCCCTCATAAAAATGTAGGAAGAAATACAACAAAATATCATCAGACATTGTCTTTGAATGATAGATTTATGAAGGATTTTTATTTTGTCCTTTATATTTTTCATTATATTTTTAGTTGTTTTAATGTTGAAAAATAAAAAAACAATGCAAAATATTTTATAATGTTCAAACATCTAAAGATGAGCAAAATAAAATAAGTGAAGTAAAATAATGTACACGATGAATGAGTAGTTTGAAAAAAATCCTCCCCAAGGATGGATTCAAGAGCAGCTGAGAATGAGCTCTGAAGTAAGAAAATGAAACAAATACATTCCTTCAACATATCAGATATTTTTTCATCTCTGTGCCTTTGCTTAGCCCTCCCAAACCCAAAATGATTTTCACACCCAAGCTCTACACATCTAAATATTAGCTGTTCAAGGCTCAGGTCAAATGTTCATTCCCACTTGAAGAATTCTCTGATTCCAAACTTGGATCTCTATCTCTGTCTCTCTCTTTTATTCTCTGTCCCCACCTCCCCTTATTTGTGGCTCTGTTAATTTTCAATTTATTCAAAGAAAAAAAAAACTTCTTGGGATCAATCCTTAACCTAAGTTTGAGGATACAGTAATGAGAGAGAGAAAGAGAGAGGCAGAGAGATCTGAAGAAAAGAGACACAAGAACACTTATAGTGAAATAGCGTGATGTTGGGGCACCTGGGTGGCTCAGATGGTTAAGCGTCTGCCTTCGGCTCAGGTCATGATCCCAGGGTCCTGGGATCGAGTCCCACATCAGGCTCCCTGCTCCTTGGGAACCTGCTTCTCCCTCTGCCTCTCTCTCTGTCTCTCATGAATAAATAAATAAAATCTTTAAAAAAAAAAAAAAAAGAAATAGCGTGATGTTACGATGAAGGTATTGCAGTATGGAGGAAGTGCAGAAGAATTTCAGAAAGGCTCCCTAAAGGAGATAATTTGGAAGACTAACAGAAGAATGGAAAAATGATGAGTTACTCAAGGAGAAGCGAAGCTAAGGAACACAATGCCAGGTAAAAGGGACAAAGTCACAACACATCCAAATTTCTCCATCTCCATGGCCCTCTTTGAAGAAATCATTTTTAAAAAAGATGGAGACAATTGGTGCCACAAAACACTGTCTCCTCCATCCAATTACTCAAATCAGAAACTTGGGATTCATACTTGGGACTCATCCTTGAATCTATCCCGCCCTTCACTCATCCCTTAATCAAGGATTTCTGTAAATGCTGCTCATACTCCTGGGGCAGCAGGGACCCCGCTAAGCCTTTGAGCTGACATTTGGCACTAGTCTCCCTGGAAGGAAAGGAGGCTGGAACCACATCTTGGCAGCAGGACGGTACCAGACTTTCCTCTGCATGCGAGTCCTTGCAGCAATTCATGAGGATGACAGCTCAATACGGTGGTATGGGAATTACCTTCTCTTATCATAACACAGCCCAGAGGCCCAGAGATGAGATCCATATGGTACAGATGTTGAGGCTTCCCTGGCTTACAGGAAGCCTTATGCCCTAGAGGAGCCCAAATCTCCCCTAATGATTCCTTAAGCATAGCTCCCGGAAACCCCACCAGGGCACGGCATTCCCACCACACATTTAGAGTTCAGTCATATTCCCTCCCAATCTAGTTGAAATTTATCAATCACAGATCACTATTACCATGAGCAATGTTGTCTGGTAACATTGGCGTATACTATCTTCATCTGTTCCCAGGGAACCGGACTAGGAGTTTAACAGAGGGTCAGAGTCTCTTGCAGCAAGGTAAGGGTTTTCTTAGCCTGTTGTCCATATTGTTGGTAATGCCATCATCAACGCATCCAAGTTTTTCCATCTGTACCGTCCACTACCTAGCTGAAACACCCTCACCTCTCACCAGGACTACTCTCCTAACATCCATATTCGCCCACCAGCCTTTCCAACAAACTCCTCTGAACAATGAATACTTCACCCTCCAGCCAGAGGCACTTTTTCACCACAGGGATTATATACCCCTTCTATGGCTTCCTACCATCCTTTGAGCGAAACCTCAAATCATTAACATGGTTTTTAAGACATATCACACCTTTCTCCCGTTTGCTTTCCAATCTCCAATCATCCAGGGTTTCTGGTTCTCAAATGTTCCTGGATATGTCACTCTCGCTTTCCTACAGATGCCTCGCACACACTGTTCTCTGTACTGCCCTGTCATCTCCACCACCACACCTGGCTGAGTTCTACCCATCCTCTTACCACCAAGTATGGCAGGTGTCATGTTCAGCCAGTTAATATGTGCAGAGCGCATACTATGCATCATATAGTGTTATCCAGATATGGAGGCATTAGAATCTAGGTTAAATCCCCCAATTACGTATGTCCCCATTCAGCACATCTGGCTCACTGTCATTCCTTTGTCAATGTCTGCCCTTCACCCGTGATTGTAAGCCCCAGTAGATTCACCACCAAATCTCCAGTGCCAGCAAAGAGTAGAGGCTCAATAAATATTTGCTGGATTAATGAAGAAATAAATGATAACTTCAGTTTCAACCAAGCAGAAGTTGGAAGAATTTCCATATGAAAATATTTAATTAGAATTTGAAGAGTCTGGAGCTAAGGGGAATGGAGCTAAGAAATCATCTTGAGAGACTGACCTGAAGATGAATGTGGGAGAGGCTGAGATGGCATGAGGACAACAAACAGCAGAAGACATCCAGCCATTTCAAGGGAAATACTAAGATTTATGGGTAGGCTCAGGAAGAGGAACAAGGAAAAGAAATGAAGTGGTTATGAGAAGTGGGAGAAGAAACGGGTGGGACAGGTGTTTCTGAGGCCCAGAGGGGAGACAAGTTCATGGGGGTTTCAGAGTAACTACAACCCCTGTGTTTTAATGTGGTCATCTGGAATGAGAATTGAAAATCACCCGGGATTTGGGCAACAAGGATTTATCAATAACCTCAGGGAGAGTCAGTTATGTGGAATGGCTGGAGGTAGAGCGAGTTTCCACGGGCTTAACACTGAACCAAGAGGAATGCTATGAGCATATAGGTCAGAGAGAACGGCATCAAGGAAATGAAAAGTATTTAAGGATGTGTGTATGCTTCAGGGGCCAAGCAGGGCTTTACATGGAATAAGTATGCAATGAGTATTTGCCGATTTAATTATCATTATGTGCTATATGCATGATAAGGTATTACTAAATAAGAAGAGGGGTTTTTCTTATGATAAAGGATATTTTTAGATATACTGAGAAATACAGAAACATTGGCAATGCATACTGTGGCTTGAGGAACCCCACTGGCCGGTGTCTTCCTAATTGTGCTCTTCCATGCTTCGGGGAATCTACGAGAAGATCCCCCACAGAAGATGTACTGCTGAGTAAGAACCACTAAAAATACTTCTGAGATGCACAGCGGCCACTTGGATTTGGTAGCTCACTGTCAAGTGTGAGGAGAAGGACTGCTTTATGCAAAAAGTAAACAGGAGAAAACACTCATTCCATCTAAAACTGAACACCAGAAAGTCACAGTTCTGAATAATAAACTGTTGTTACAAAAGGAATTAATAAGCAAACATGGAACCCTGTTACACATCTCATAGAGTTTACAGTAGTCCACAGCATAAAATTCTGCCTTTGTTATGTCTGTCACTCTCTTTATATGTATATATACCAGTAATAATAATATCTACTGTGTGTGTATATATGTATGTCACATATATGTATGTCACATGTGTATGATACATATATGCTGGGTACTTTATATGCATTAGCTCATCTAATCTTGCAGAAACCCTATAAGAGGTATATTATGATCATCATTTTATAGGTGAGAAATGGAGGTTTTGTAAACTATCTCAAATAATGTTAGTAAGCGTCAGAGCCAATGTTGGGCTCCCATCTGCAGTCTTAACTACTGTACTATATTGCTATTTATATTTCTAAATATTAAAGTACATTTACATAAAGGTTCATGGGAAGTCAAGGAACTTGTGATATCCTCATCACTTGGTTTGGCATGCTGTATACTTTAATCCTAAAGTTACTGTAGATTCCAACATGTAAATTAATGGCATGTCTCTTATATTTTCTTTCCAGGGAACAGCTGAGACATAGATGAAATTCAAGACTATAATAACCAAGGCTCGAGTAATTCCTCCCTTAAAGCAGTGCTCAGAAAAGAAACAAATTAAAATCACAGTACCTTTATTAGCTGGCCCAAGGAAATCACACTCTGAGCCCAAGTGCAAAGCTATGGTGGGAGGGAATGTTCCCAGTGAGAACACGAATTACAGCTGATTCTCATTTATCTGCAAATTCCGTATTTGAGATTTTGCCTACTCACTAAAATGTATTTGTATCCCTGAAATCAATACTCATGAAAATTTTCCAGGTCATTGGGGCACATAGGCAGAATGGTTCACGTTCTCAGCTAAGGTCAAAGAAGATCACCCTCCACCTCTTGTTTCAGCTCTTACACTGTAAACAACTGTCCTTTCTGCAGTATATTTAGTGCCCTGCTTTTTACATTTTTGTGCTTTTTGCTGATGATTTTGATGTTTAAGATGTCCCCTAAGTAGAGTGCCAAAGTGCTACATTGTGCACCTAAGTACAAAAAGGCTGTAATGTGCCTTCCAGAGAAATCATCTGCTACATAATCTCCATTCAGGTGTGAGTTATAGGGCTGTTGGCCATGAGTTCAATATTAACAAATCAGCTATATATTACACAAGGTGTCTTTAGACAGAAACATACATAATACAAGGGCATGTATTGATCTGTTAATGAAAGTCCTCTGACCAGAGGCAGGAACAGGGCCCCGTATTTCTCTCAGGAACAATGATTCAGTATTCGCTAATTCAGTGTTCACAGCAACTTTATAGACTATAATTAACATGAATAAGAATAGACAGTGTCTTCATTGTAATAAAATCTTCAGAATATGTTTCACCCAATACCACCAGTATATTTCTTTTTGGAGTGTTACTAGATTGCTCCTAATTGAAACTATGCCTAATAGTTTCTTAAATAAAATTTCAGATCCCCTAAAAAAAAAAAAAAAAAAAAGAATAGACAGTGTCTTGGTGAGGAATACTAAACAGAGTGTATGTGTGGACTGTAAGTTATACGTAGCTTTTCTAGCTGTAGGTTACTTAGGATAAACATGAGTAGGCCATTGATAGGGAAATCTCTCCCTCTCCCTCCTGGAACTATCCCACCCCAAGCAATAGGAATGACCATCAGGAGTAAAGATTCACAAGTAAATGACAAGAAAAGCAAAAAATACTCACTAGAATATATAAAGATGTGTGCATCAGCCCTAGGGAGGAACAGGGGGCAGAATTTAATGGCCTGTCCTGTCACCTGGGCTGGTCAGCTCAAGGAGCTTTGATGAAGCAGAAGGGGGTAAGAGAAACACATCACTGTCACCTATAAACAATCTTTTAAAATACTAGTATCATCCTAACCCCAAATTTCTCAAGGACATTATTCAACTATAAAAGTGAAATTATGCATAACCTAAGACATTTTTTTAGGAAAATTCCCAAGACTTCTTCCCTTTACATACTTGAAAAGTATTCAGAGAACTTTGGTCAATAAAATCTTGTTAATAAAATTTAGAATATGAAATTAAATGCATAGGTGATTTTTTTAGAGCTGGTTGCTAAGATTTAAGAAAAAGCCTGAGGGAATGCATGCATCCCATTATAGTGATCAAAGATGCCCGCACATCTGGCTTCTATCTGTCCACCACTGGCAGGGCGGGGCCCTCCCTTGAGCAGGAGCAACCCTCTCCCCAAACTTGAAAACGCCTTTGTCCTCTGATAATTACATTCTATGATACCATCTCTATTCGGTAAGATCAACCCCCCAAGAATTAATTTCTCACAGTGTGAGTAAGGATCTCCCAAGTTATGAGTAAGGCTACAGCAGGAGGATAAGATGTGTCTGCATGTCTATAACTCTCGTGTAATCTACGGTGTTACATCCTGTCTAAGGAAAGGTTGGGTTGGATGGTTGGCAAAATCTAGACAGTATTAAAGAGTAAGACTCTGCTGGTGTGTCCTCCACACCATCCAGAGAAGATACTCAGATCAGTGGGCATGAGAGTTGTAATCCTTTGGCAGATGATATTGTGCCCACCAATACCATCCTTACTGTTTTGGGGACTTCAACCTGGCACCACCTGGAGTTCTCGGCCCCAAGGTCTTGGCCAGCCAGAGAAGCCTGCTCTGAGATCCCGTGTGTCCCTTTGAGGCATGCTGGGTGTGGCAGGGGAGATAATGCCTCCTAGAAGCAGTCCTCAGCCCACGACTGATGGATAACTAAGAACTGTGTGCTTTACCCAGGTTCCCAGAGTTTCATCTCCGGTTCTCAGATGAAGCTCCAGTTGACCACAGCAGTAACAGGATTGATAACACAATCGTAACTGACTGCCTCCACTTTCCCACTCTCCTACCAAAATCTCCTTCACCCTTCCAGTAAATTACTTGCATTCAAATCCTTATCTCAGAATCTTACTTCCCACGGAGTTTCTCTACAAAGGGTTCTAGTCTCTGGTACAATTATATTTCTCATTGTATATCAAATAACTGGCTTTCTGGTTTATACATTGGTCTTTTACTACTTTGGCTAGTGGAAATCAGTTCCCCCTGGGGCACAATAACTCTGCGTAGATGGACAAAATACAGACTGTAGACAAGCAGAGTCAAGAATTAGTCTAAAAAAATTATTACCTTGTGAGATATTCTCTCGCTTACCTAGTAGATGTTTGATCTCATCTAGCACGGAGCTATACAGATTTGTTGTCAGCTTTGAGTTCCTCCCCAAAGTCAGAGAGAGAGAGAGAGAGAGAGAGACAGATTCACTGGGGGAATGGCATATATAATTTAATGGGTATGTAGATGTAACAGGTTTCTACAATATCAACCCTTTCAACCAAGTTACCAAGGCAGATGGGCAAGGAGACCCATGTGAGGTAGACACTCCATGTGAGAGACATGATGATGCTCATAAGAGCAAACACATGTCAGTGGTTCTTTCCAGGTGCCAGGTGGGCTTTAGGTATCACTGTAAGAATTAAATGAGTTAGTAAACATAAAGGCACTTACTGAAGAAAAAAAAAAAAAAAGACTATAATCTACTTAGATATTTCTGGTAACTACCACTGAAGAAAAAAATCCAAGCCAAAAAGAATATAGACAAAAAGTCAAAACAGTTTGATGTCACCCTGGGGAAAACTGTGGTACCGAGAAAGATCTGTGAACTGAACCTCAGAGCTCAAATCCCGGGTCTACCACTTTTTAGTTTGGAGACATGAACGCCTCCAACCTCACTCCCTGTTCCATCTGTGACCTGAAGAAAGCAGGAGCAATCTCTCAGGGCTGGGGGAGACAGACACCCAGCATAAGACCTATTTTAAAAAAGGGCCTTTTCCTTTGGCTCCCGGAGAAAGGGAAGAAAGTATGTTTGCTCCAATGGCCAGTGTTTTATAGCTGGATAGAGAGAAAACAGAGAGACATGCATGGATGTGAGACAGATGGTGTCCCCACCTTTGGTAAGCCGGACATGCATTTTGATTTTTTTTTTCCAGTAACAGCACCCAATTACATTACGATCATTGTCTGAGGAGAGGTAGAGTCTTTGAGTAGGCTTGCCCACCCAGCTCACCAGGACTGTACCGGAGAGCCTGTGAGGAACTGGAGCTGGAACACATCACCTCAGACACAGGAAGTCTTGCAAGACTGAAATAGGGGAATGATGGCGGCCCATCCCCTCAGCTGGGTGGAGCTCGGTAGGCATTGTTACATTCAGCCTCGGGACTCCGTGCTGACTGACCTCTTTCTATCTCGATCTCCCTCTAGTTTTTTGTTTGTTTGTTTTTAACTGTCATTCAGCTCCTGTTGGGTCTCTGAGCCATCATGGAAATGGAGTGTCTATTTTTTGTGATTTTGTAAGTAAACTTTGAGTGTATTCATACTGCTTTTTTTCACATAGGTCAGTAATACCTCCTTCCCGCCCCCCCCAGGTTTTTATTAGAGAACAATAAACATCATTTTCAACTGATCAGGTGCAGCAAAACCTGTCACTGACTTCACAGGAGCTTGTATAATCTCAGCAACCTTTTGTCGCCAGCATACTGTGTGTCTTCACATAGCCCTAAATCAAGGGTCCAAGAAGATAAAGATCATTGCAAACCTAATTAGATAATGCTCTTAGGTCTAATTGTATATTGCTTTAAGTTGATCTTCTTTTTAACAGAGTTTCCTTTTTATTTTTTAAAATATTTTATTTATTTGTTTATTTGAGAGAGAGTGCATGAGCAGAGGGAAGGGCAGAGAGAGACAGAATCCCAAGCAGACTCCCCGAGCGCAAAGCCCAACACAGGATTCGATCTCGGGACCCGGAGATCATGACTTGAGCCGAAACCAAGAGTCAGAGGCCCAACCAAATGAGCCACCCAGGTGCCCCAGAGTTTCCTTAAAAAAAAAAAAAAAAAAAAAAAACAAGCAAGCAAGCAAGCAGTAGGGTGAGAAAGGCAGGCCACCCGGGCTGCAGGCAGGCTGCAGGCCTGAGAACACGAGGAGCACTCACCCCCACAGATGGTGCCGTCCAGGTCTTCACAGCGGCGGTCATCACACTCACACGTCTTGCCGTACACCCTGCGGTCTCCCGGAGGGTAGCAGGTGCACTTGCCGCATTCGCATTTACCTGCAAAACGTGCAGGGAGAGCACATGGCTTAGGAGCGTCCCAGAATCGGCGGGCTTCCCAAGGACACAAGCACACCGTGAAGCCTGGTTAAACAGTTCGGCAAATAACTTTTCTTACCTGCCTCCGGTAAGCTGAGGCCCAAGCACAAGAGCCACGGAGGCCGGGGGGACTGAAGTGACACTTGTTTCATTCATTTTTGAAGACTAATTCAGTTATGAAACCCTCTGGGTATTTCATATTCAACTTCATTTGATAATACCAAGTGGTATATATTTTGACTTAATTTAGTATAATGTCATTTAAAAATGTTTTTATATATTTTCATTTTGGGTCTATTGGCCACATAAGAAAAAAAAAATGCTCATTGGTACATTTCAAGGCGATGTTTTATGACTATTTATAGGCAACAATTTTATAATTTATAGAACTCATTTTACCATGGAATGCATATCAAAGTGCATGACCTAAATACCTAAATACCTTTATTATTCTTGACTTAAAAATTTTAAAGTATAAACATTTTTTTGAAATGAGTTTGGTTCACAGTTTGGGAATTCCTTAACTATTATCATTATGGCCGTCATCGTTATTTCTTGGGCTGTAACTACGTGTCAAACACTATAATTCTTTCAATTCCATCATTTTGTTTTCACCATTTCACTCACTGACTAGCATTATCACTGTCATTTTACTAAACAGGAAACAGAGACATACCGAGGCCAAGTTCCTTTCCTATGGCAAACCAGCTCATAAGGAACAGATTCAAAATTTATATCCATCCTCATTAACCTTAAAGTTTGTGCACTGAACCATGAAGCCAGACTGCACCTTAACATACCCAACGCAGCACCACAAGGCTATGAGCAAGAAAATTCCTTTTGCCTGAGGAACTGGCGCTGGTTTGGCAGACCTTCAGCTGGGTGACTACCCTGAGACATCTGTTACTCTCTGTCATTAGCCCAACCATCATAATTACACACCCACTGAAATGATCATAAGATGCTTCGGGGCTGACCCTACAATGTTGTTAGTCATTCTGGTGCTGCATTTGTATCTTGTTAAAGAAATTCTGAGTTGGTAGATGATGGAAGAAAGGAAAATTAGTATTTAGAATCATATAATTTCAGAGCTGTAATTAAAGATAATCTAATGCAGTGATTCATAATCTTTTCTGGCAGAAGTGGTAGGGTCGCTGTCCCTTTGAGAATCTGGTGAAAGATATTGCAATAGATAGTGTGGTTCTGGCTGCTCTTCAGCCAGTCTCTCTTCCCACTTGGAGACAGGCCCAAGTTCAGCAGGAGGCAGAGTCCCTGTCCTTCCCCAGTGATACTCCCTCTTCCTATGCCCTGGTGGACAGAAGAGGGACACAGCAGACACTCTTGGCCAGGGCTTTGCTTCTTGCGGGTGAGAGCGAAGACGCAGGGTCTGTGGCAAAGGACCACAAGCAACAGCAAGCGCAGCAGTGAGCATCCAGGAGCTGAGGGACTTGGCACAAAGTAATGGCGGGAGGGGCGAGTTGTTGGCAGGGCCTTGTGTCCCTGGAGTGCTGCACGAACTGGTTGTCCACGCTTGCACTCTGCGCCTAAACCCTTCTCATAAAATCTTTCTCCATCCCAGTTAATGAAGTTGGTCTCTGTTGTCCACAGACAAGAAGTCTAACTGGTAGACCTCAGATCTCTCCTTGGAAATATATACCAGCACACATTTCTTTTTTTGTAAAATGTCAGGAGGATCCATGACTTCCCACAGTTTATTTAACAGATGAGGAAACCCAACCAAGCTGATGCTGAATGACCTGTCTAAGGCCAGTGAAGTAGACATTAGCAGGGTTGGTGCTGGAACCCGTTCTTCCTGATCCCCAGTGACCTCCTGGTGTCCACAAACATACTTGCCATCATCATGGGGTGTGTGTGTGAATGACAACAAAATCATGGGGTGTGTGTGTGAATGACAACAAAAATCTGGACTCTGGAGACACAGAGACTAACTGTACAGCCATGAGCAGTACAACCGCGTGCGGTTAACTAGTCCTTCATGAACAGATATGGGAAACATCAACCACATTATTCCTGAGAGGGAATGCAGTCCTAGTTATCAAGGCAACACAGATTTTTAAGCTTGAGGGTGTATGTTTATGGTGACAATTTTATTAACGTTTTAAGGCATTCGGGAAGTTTCCCGGATATGCATTATTGGTTTCTATGCCTCTTTGGAAAGGATGATCTAAATACTGGCATACAGGGGCACCTGGGTGATATAATCCATTAAGCATCCGACTCTTGGTTTCGGCTCAGGTCATAATCTCAGGGTCCTGAGATCCGTGTCGGGCTCCATGCTGGGCGTGGAGCCTGCTTGGGATTCTCTCTCTCCCTCTCCCTCTGTCCCTCCCTGCTGCTTACCCTCATGCTCTCTCTCCTTCGTAAATAAATAAATAAATAGTGGCATATACATTCAAATATCTACATTTCATTGTTTTCATTTTGGATAGTTTGTCTTGTATTTCTTCTATAAAGTCAGATTGCAAAGTGTTCATATTTGGTCGTAGGTCCATTTTTTTCCCCTAGTAACTAGATTGTAATTCATGTATCTTTTTCAAATATCAGAGTATAATTAGTCACTTTGCAATTCTTGGTTTTTTGGGGGGTCTTTTTGGTCATGTATCTGCTGGAGTTTTCAAAAGCTCTATCAAGCCAACTCTTAGCTGAATTACTTTATAGATATAGCTCTAACACAGTTTCTAGGCTATAGTAACTTCATATGGAAAGGCAAAAAATCAAGAATCAAGACAGGCTAATGTATTACAGATAAAAAGGTAAAGAAGAGTAAATTGTTCATGTGGTCCACATTTTAAAGTGCATTATTTTGCTGTCTTAGTTCACAGCTTAAGTCTAGTCACTACCAAGACATATACTTGCCAGGTAAATTTCTACTCATCTTTTAAGATCCAAAGTAAATGTCACCAAATCAGTGATACTTGCACCCTCCTACTCACACACCTGCACAAATACAGCAGAATCAACTGCCTTCTCATGTGTCCTCATGATGTCTGAATCAGTATTTATTGAACAGATGCAATAAACAATAATCACATGTGAATGGTTTAGTAATAATATTCCCACAACACATGAGCTTTAATGGTTGAACTTGAATTTAGAATTGGATGTCTCTCCCAGAATACATGCGCCTTTCCAATTGCCAGAAAGCCTTCATTTGTGTCTCCCACAGTTACATCAATGAAATCTGTCCCACAGCAAGCTCATCCTCTTTATTTACACACATACTTCTCTTCCTGTGTCCTGTTATCAGGAGAAGGTCACCATCATTTGATCTGTCACCAAATCTTAAAAACACCTGATGACAGTTGATTCCTTCCTTCTTTTAATGAACTATTCTTCTCCTTCCAATTTGAAATTTCATGAGATCCACTTTTTTAAAAAAAATTCAATTCAATTAATTAACATACAGTGTATTATTAGTTTCAGGTATAGAGTTCAGTGATTCATCAGTCTTATATAACATGCTCATTACATCATGCACCCTCCTTAATGCCCATCACCCAGTTAGCACCCCCCACGCCTCTCCCTGAGATCCATTCCTTAAAACATGCCTGTGATTATGTAATGGCCTTTCACGTGATAGTCCCCATAGACCTTCAAGGCAGAGATGAAATTCCTTAATAGAGCTCTCCACACCTGGTCCAACTCACATTTTGAAGCATATATTCGATGTTCACAGTGCACTCATGTTCAGAGACTTTGCTTTTTGCTCCATTTCTTCTCTCTGCTGTGAGCTCTACCACTTTCTCTGTACAATCTGACCCACTGTTCGGCCAGCTCAGATCTCCTGTCCTCTATGAAACCTTCCTTGTCATCCCTATTTGGTTCCCTGGAACATGTGTTCTTTCTCTCTGATCCCACAGTAATTTGTTCACACCACTAGTAGATCACTGAATGCAAACTTCATACTGGATAAGTACATGCTTGAATCAGACCCTAAATACTGAACTTTTTGTGGTCCAGGCTGACCGTGAGATTTGTGTCCTGTTGGCAGCCAGCAAAGTTCTCTGTTGATGGAGTAGGAAACCCTGACATACAGATTTATTGTCTTTTTTAATAAGAAATTGAGTCCAATCTCTTTCCTTTATTTGCTAAATGATATTATTATTTCAGTGATTGCTTTAGTGTTGTGAGCTATAAATGTGGCTTCTCAAATGACTATCAATATTCACATAAGTAAGAATGAAGGATAATGGAAGTTGGCATGTCTAGCACTAATAAATGCTATTTTTTTAAACAAATTGAGAGGAATATCTAAAGAAAGATATACTCAAAGAAATACAAATAAGCCAAGTAATTTTTGAAAAGATAATTCAGGAACAGATGGAAAGGACAGAAATAACTATCTAAGAAATTAATTCAGTCAACATCATCAATATCATCCAACCAAAACTTATGTGAACTTTACACTGAGTCTGCCCATTCCTACTACATTTTTAAAAAGCAGATAATCTTGAAGGACACACAAAAAGTCAGTCCAATGATACCATTTTATAAAGGACTGAAATCCCTATGAATTGTATTTTAAGGCTTATACATTAGCAAAGAGTAATGAACTAAGGCAGCTACCTAGAAGTTCTGATTTAAAAAGATTTTACTTAAACATTTCAAATTTGACACTTCCTTAAAATACAGAAAAACTCTAAGTCAAGATTGACAATGTAGACAATGTAGAGTTTATAGTGCTATGCACAACTAGTCATAAAATATACCTCACTTTAAATATCATCTTTAATTTAAAATTTCTTACACTCCCTAAGAGAGCTAAACATCTTTCGAACACGTGCATATGTTTGCCTTGGAGTACATTTTTCCATAAGTACCAGGTTAAAATTTAAAACCTTAATGCACTTACTCCAAAATATTTCTCATATGAAATTCAGCAAATATGAAAAATCTCTTTTGTGCAAAGCACTTGATCAGATATGGAAGTATAAGTCTAA